CCCACACACACACACAACGGTAACAAATGGCTGTATTCAAAGTGGTGTTGCTTTCTGCGAAAATCGAAATACTCATTTGAAACTGTTTCAAGGAAAGTGGGAAACTAGATACTGACAAGGTTGGAGGTGGCTGAACTTTTCAAAATATGTAGTGACCCTCCTACAACAGACGACACGTACTATGAAATGTGGGGTAATTACTAAAAAGTTAACAACGTTTCCAAAGAAGCAGAGAGATTGGGAAGAAAGCGCTATGACTAGACGCAACTTAAAATAACAAAACAGAAATGAGGTCAAAAGAGCAGAAAAAAGACAAAGGATGTGCTGGACTTTAATTTTGTCAACACAGATTGACATTATCGACTTTTGTGCAGAGTGTTGGAAGAGGATAAAGGGTTGAACAAAGACAAAGACATTAGTCATCGAAAAATCGCTCTATTTCAAGCGCGATAATCAAATAAATCCAAAGACTCAATCCATACAAAAATGGTCAAAATGAGAAAGCTTACTTGTAGATTTGTGTGCTCTGTTCTGTATAACCGGCTTGATTGATCATGACGTCTGCTTCGTCGAGAACAAGGCAGCAAATGTTAGACGGGTCAAGGCAGTGGTATTTGGTAAGGTAGTCGACCAACTGCAATGAAATTACCGAAAAATGTTGTGGTTGACAAAAAATTGTCACTTTCAAAATCCAACAGTCAATCGAAAGAGTCCGAAACTTGTTAGCGGAGAAATGAACTGGGGGACCAACCTTTCCAGGGGTGCCAATGATTATTTGTTCAGTTATGGGCGCCGAAGCTGAAATGTTTTCAACTTAAAAGATAAACTGACAACTCTTCTTGACAACTTACGTTTCACTCCTCTGACTGCGAAATGGACCCTGATCTCAGGCATAAACTGAGCGATTTTGGCGACCACCTCACCTAAATCAGTTGAAAGCTGGAGCTCGCTAAAACCCAATTTGATAACCATCAAAATCGTGAAATAAGTCAGCAATTAACTTGACAAAAAATACCGAGGAAGAACAACAAGCTTTGTTTTTGACCTATCTGTATGGCAAGCTCATATGTCGGCGCTAAGCAGAGACACTGCGGACGTTTCTTTGAAGCATCCACACGTGAAAGCATTGTAAGAACGAAAGTTGCGGTTTTTCCTGTACCCGATTGCGATTGGGCAATAATATTTGTTGGTCTGAAATCCATACATTACGGAAGGGAGAGAAATCGACAAAAACCACGTCAGATTGATTACTTACGGTTCCATAATTAATAGGGGGAGAGCGAACTCTTGAATTTTGGACGGTTGTGTAAATCCTAACACGTTCAGGGCTTCAAGAAGCTCCGGTCGACTGTAAAAGATGTCGATATTGAAAGAATCATATTGAAAAATTGTGTTGCTATAAAGTAATATTATCGAATGCTCGTTAAGCTCCTAAACTCTAACACTAACTGAGGAAAACAGTTTCGTAGAGGAAGAACACTAAGAATCTATTGCCACGAAACCTACAAAATGATTCAAAGAACAGAAAAAAACTTGGAAATTAAAAGTTATTCCAAAAATAACAATATGTAGGTTAAGGTGTGATTGATAAAGACGTTTGCAATATTGCTAAGTTCGCTTGAAAGAGGCGATGTTAAGGCCTTTCATATTGAGAAAGTAACGGTATCAGGAGAGTAAAGGCATTAAGCACTCAAGCCGCATGAGCTGTTATTCTTGTTCATTTACCTGTTGAGAAAATGACTGATGCAGACCATAATAGAGTTCAACAAACTCATAAAAAACCAAGTCATGCGCATCGTAGGTCTCATGACCATCGCGATAAGACCATTGGGAAACCCAAGCTGAACTCCAAAAGAAAAAAAAAACTCACAGTCTGAGATCACGAAAGCTCCGAATGGAATGCAACGGTGAGCGAGGGTCATTTCTGTCTAACGATACGTCAATACCACTATTCTGCATGAGATCCACTTTTTTGTGCAGAAATTTGTTGAGCAAGGCAACTTCTTCTGGTTTCATTGCTACAAAAGAATAAGAAAAATGTTTGGTAACTTCAAAAAGAGGAGTGCGCCGAAAATAAAAAGAGAATAAAATTGATAACTAACGTTTTTCCATCACATCGTCGCCAATAATCGGTTTTGGAGCAATATATTTATACGGGTTGAGCTGAAAGCAGAAAACAGCACTGCTTGGGTTGGTAAGTTCACAAATTAAAACACAAAAACCCCTGTTACTTCCGCTTACCCCAGCTGGATACTGTTGTTGGACATTTGCCTGACCCCTTCCGCGGTAGGAAGCTCCTGACAGCGCTAAAATAAAGGCATACAGATTGAAACTTGAAAAATATGA